CATTTGCGCAGTCCAGCTGTGTACGCAGCTGAGCTCTGAGCGGCAGCGCTTTTGATAAGAATGGGAAGACTGAGGGACAAAGCGTGGCATAATTTCCTGCCTGCGATGCAACTGGTGAAAGCCAGAGCCAAGTGCAGGCTCATGGTTTTAACTACAAGCATAATTCACATAACCAATAACAAGTAAGGCAATGCGTTGATTTATTTATTTCTAGGTTAAATACATTTTAACTATGTGATGTGTGTTTTATGGGCACATGTGCAGGTGCCCCCAGAGGCCAGAAGAGGGCGCTGGAGTCTCTGGAGCTGGAGTTATAGGTAGTGTAAGCCACCCAATGTGGGTGCTGGGGCCTGAACTCTGATCTCTGCGGGAGCAGTGTGCACTCTTAACTGCTGAGTTATTTACTACTGTGCTTAAGTATATGAGTCACAACACTTAAACGGGGGGGAGCAGGGGGGGGCGGGGGTGGATGAGCTGCACATGCAACTCATTTGGAAGAAGCCGGTTAAGTATACACTAAACCTTGAGTTCAGATCTTGGTATTGCATAAGCCTTGGCTGGTGGAGATGGAGGTAGCAGAAACCAGAGAGCAGTCCAAAGTTGCCCTTGGCTACATCAGACTCTGCCTCAAAACAAAACAGCAAAAAAAGAAGAAGAAGAAGAGGAAGAAGAGGAAGAAGAGGAAGAAGAGGAAGAAGAGGAGGAAGAAGAGAAGGAAGAAGAGGAGGAAGAGGAGGAAGATGAGGAAGAAGACAAGGAGGAGGAAGAGGAAGAGGAAGAGGAGGAAGAGGAAGAAGAAGAAGGAAAAGAAGAAAAGAAGAAGAAGAAGAAGAAGAAGAAGAAGAAGAAGAAGAAGAAGAAGAAGAAGAAGAAGAAGAAGAAGAAGAAGAAGAAGAAGAAAGAGCCAAATAGGTGAGGTTTAAATACCCTCTTATTCGGGGGTGGGAGGGAGGATACAGGATGTGTCACCTTTAGAGGGTAGATCTCTTTATCTCTTTCAGGGAAGATGGACAAGGAACAGACATCATCCTGGAGAAAACCTCAGCTGGACTCTAGATGTCATGTTCTGTTTTCAGTGTTCTTTACTGTCGTAGAAGTCTAATTCCCTGTAGTGACTGACATGTCAGTGTGAAAACAGACGTGATTCTGACCTCTTTCGGCAGCTGTGTTCAGAGAGATGAAGGGACATGGCAGAAAGCCTTTCCCAGTACTTTAGAAAAGGGAAAAGGCAGGTCAGAGGACCCCAAGACACTTCTGAGACCTCTGAGCATGCCAAACTACAACTGCAGAGTCGTTTCCTCATCTCCACTAGATTGCAGTGCGATTGCTATTTTAATTGTCCCATTTCTATGGCTTCAAATTCATTCTCTCACATACATCGACCCCCACCAAACTAACTTGAAGACATTCCTGCTTCCGGCCATGAGCTCTCTGCTTGGGGATCTGTTTTATTTGGCGTGGGACCCAGGGTTTATACAAAGGATGGCCCATGGACACTCAGGGTAGCAAATGGCACTGTTAAATAAAGGCCACTGTTTTAGACTAAAATACTACACTGGGCTCCAACACACCTGGCTAACAATGAAAATGGAATTACTCGTGCCAGAGTTTCACACCACCAACTCAGAGCATACATGCTTATCTGAATTCTAAGCAATGAGCAAAACTGAGAGATAAGAGCCAGTTTGCCCAAGCAGGCCAGTTTTCATGACCGAACAACAACATTGCCTATCTTTAATCTGTATATCCTGTGCTCCACCTAAAGGGTAATGTGAGACAGATGTAGGCACATAGGTGTAAGCTCCCTGCCTCTCTCCTGCTGGTCTGAGTAGGAGGATCATGAGTTAGACCGTGCTTAAGCAGCAAAGTGAGACCCAGTCTCCAAAACAAACAAGGGTTAATGCAAGGTTAACCCCTTATTTTCTACTGTTCTCTACAACAGAAGTAACTTTGAATACTTCAGTCTACTTTTGCTATTCTGTGTGTTCCTCAGTCCCTGTTTGTACAGCAGCCACCCTTCGATGTGCCAGGAGAGTCACTGCGCCTTACGGAAGGAAACATTGCTTGATTCTGGAGTTCATAGAGAGCCCATTCGTTTGGAGGTTAAGTAAGTGATTACTGTTTTGTACCACATACACCTTTTGTTTTCATTCCTTACAGAGGGAAGAAAAAAAAAACACTGATAACCACTAAAAAGCCTGAGGCTGCTCCTTCCTCCTCTGGAAATACCAAGCCTGTGAGGCCTTGAGGCAGGACAAAGACAGGGGGAAATTTGAGCGCATAGGAAAGAAAAGGGGACCCCGACTCTAGAGTCTGGTTAAAACCTTTTGCCAGCTATCAATCAAGAATTCCAGTACAATTAATAGTATTTGTTGTCTGAAGGTTTCCAAAACAGAGATGAAATGTCTTATATATATAGAGAGAGATTTTTCCTTTTTTTTTTTTTTTTTTTTTTTTTTTTTGGTTTTTCAAGACAGGGTTTCTCTGTAGCTTTGGAGCCTGTCCTGGAACTTGCTCTTGTAGACCAAGTTGGCCTCAAACTCACAGAGATCAACCTGCTTCTGCCTCCCGAGTACTGGGATTAAAGGTGTGTGCCACCACCACTCCGTGAGAGAGATTTTCAAATAAAAATATTAAAGCATCAACAAGCCAGCCTGAGGGCTTAAGTGCTTATGACTTTGAGCAGTTCCTCCTCCTCTCCCAGATATTGTCAAGAAAATTTTCAAACCAAAATACTAATTTTTGTTTAGCGAAGGTGACCTAACTTTATTTCTATTTATTATTGGTATGTGCATGCGTATGAAGTATGTGTCTGTGTCTGATGTTTATGTGCATTTTTGTGATCTGTGTATGGGGGGGTGATGTGTGTGTGCATTTGTGTGATGTGTATGTTGTGTCATGTCACACATGTGGATGTCAGATGACAACTTTGTGAAGTCTGTTCTCTTTTTCCACATTTCTGTGATTCTCAGGGATCAAATTCAACGCTTAGCTAAGCTAACCTGACTGGAAAATGCTGGTAAGCCCATTTAGCCACTTTGCTGGCCCTTGGGTCTTATTTTTATTAATTGTAATCCTGTCAGGTACAGCTCAAAAACTATCCTGCGACCTAATTTAAATTTCTTAGTGACTTTTTGAAGATATGAATTTTAGAAACCACCCGTGTCCGTATCCGATTATCACAAAGATAGTAAAGCACCATTGTCCTTCGAGAAGTCCACTTCCGTGCTCTCAGAGGGTCTTACAGTCCTTTCTCCGGGTGCCTGTAACCCTCTCCTAAGTATAGTAAAGAAGTCTTTCTAAAATTATTTTTAAATGGATGAGGTTTGCCTGCGTGTATGTATTTGTACCGTGTATGTACCTGCAGAGGCTGGAAGGTGGCTTTGGATGCCCTGGAACTAGAATTGTGGATGTGGGTGAGAAGGAAGGGATTCTGGGTACTAAACTCTGGTCTTCCGCAAGACCAGCAAGTGCGCTTGTTACACTGAACCAACTCTTCAGCACTAGAGACATTTTTTAAGAAGCTCCAACTCTGCTTCCTCCCAAGATTGTCCTGAAATCCTTCTTTGCTGCAAAGGATCGGGTCAAGGATCCAGCTTTATCTGGTGCAGGTCCCTAAACAGGAGAAGAACAGGGTTGGAGAAATGGCTCAGAAGCTAGGAGCTCAGAGGTTCTTCCAGAGGACCTGAGTTCAATTCCCAGCAACCACACGGTGGCTCACAACCGTCTGTAATGAGATCTGGTGCCCTCTTCTGGCAGGCATTCATGCAGGCACATCTTTAAAGACAAAACAAAACAGGAGACCAAATTCCTCAGGCTGCTTATTTGCCCCTCCTACTGCCGGATCTCAGTCTTTGCTAAAGAAAAACCAAGTTAGTTGTCAGTTTGGTGAATTAATTTGTGAATGAATTCTAGTAGTTTCCTATCATATAGGAAATGCAGCTGCATTTGTTTCACACCCAACCGTCCTTTCTTCCTTACAGCGCTCTTGGCTTCGGGCAAAGCTATTCTATGACAAACAGCCTCTGGGAAGTCTCGGGATGACCATCAGAGGGTGAGGTATCAATCTGATGATGTTTGCTGTGTCCAGCAGCATGAAGACGAGAGTCACAGTGCCCGGGGTGAAACTCGGCAGTGGCATCGTGAAGTCTTAGTGACGCACAGACACTGGTGGCTCATTTGATTCCACCAACCGTGCATTTGCATGTCATGCCCTGCTTATGCAAATGTTCTTCAGTAATATTCTTAACTATTTTTCTTAAGTACATGGTTCTGTCCTCTGTCTCTAATTGCAACTGTAACTCCCTTCCCATAGCTCTTTCCCCAGGGATCACCCTCCACCTTTGCTGACCTTTTTCACAGCTCTCCAGAATTGAAGCTGCTGTATTTTCCTTGCTTGGAGAGGTTCCGCTTTTGTTGTTGTTGTTGTTGTTGTTGTTGTTGTTGCCTAGTGAGCTTGCACTGGCCCCCAGGACTCAGTAGGGAGATGTCAACCAACTGGCCCAAGTCTGTTTATAGTCTCCCCAAATCTCCACAACTTCAGCCAAAGCACATTACCTTCCAACTCGCAAGCTTTTATTCATATTTCCTGGAACAGGTGTTGGGAAACCATGTTCTGTGTGCTTTTGGATGTGGGCTGGTTTTGTTTCTTTGTTTGTTTTTTGTCTTTCAGTTTTTTGAGACAGGGTTTCTCTGTGTAACAGCCCTGGCTGCCCTGAAACTTACTTTACAGACCAGGCTGGCCTCGAACTTTCAGAGATTGGCCTGCCTCTGCCTCCTGAGTGAATGCTGGGATTAAAGATGCACGCCACACCACCGCCACCGCCACCACCACCTGGCTAGGGACTAACTAGCCCATAAGTGAAGGTGATTTTCACCAATTTAAAACCTGGAGGAGCCAGAAGCAATGAAAAAGAGGCAAGTAAAAGCGGGAGGCAGACACTTAATAGGACCCAGTTGACCTTAAAATACTATCTGACCTTTTAGAAACACAGAAAAACAAATTTATTCAAATGAAATTTTATGATACATTAAAGCCATCAGAAATGGAGACTGAAAGGCCCAGGAAAATGTGTCTGTCCCTAGACTTCCTTTTGGTGAAATACGGACAGCGGCAGAAAAGAGTGATTAACTGAAGGAAAGTCTCACCTGGCGAGGTGTCTACGTTCTTGCAGTCCTTTCAGCCCAGATTTGGGGCAAGAAATTGGAAAAACTGTCTCAAGCAAGGTGGAACACAAGGACCAACACCCAAAGTGGTATTCTAATCGCCAGATGCATGAGTGACTCACATAGGCAAACCATGTGCACATGGGAGGGAGGAAGGGAGGGAGGGGGAAGAGAGGGAGGGAGGGAGGGAGGAAAGAAGCTGACAAGTTGGAAGCCAGTTTGGGAGAGATCAGTAGAGTCATCAACGTAAAAATCTCTTGTGTGTGATAAATACAGCAAGGCCGGCAGCCTCACCCCACACAAACATTGAACTAAAATGTGATGTCCAAAGATATACAGGGAAAATCTATATTACTCGTCAAGAAGGAGGGCTTGTCGTAGTTTGGAGTTCCCATTTGTTTTAGGGGTGTAGGGCAGAAGCCAGGCAGGCAAGCACGCTCCCTCAGAGCTGACAACCCGAGTCCAAAAACTCCTGTCATCTTTAAATTTTGAAGAACCACAACGTGCAGCTCCCGATGTGGGCAGGAAGGAAGGAGGTTGAGGCTGGGGTGTCTCATTGCTCAGTCTCAGGACACCCCGATTCAAGCTGGCAAGTCTGCAGATGCCCTTTTCCCGCGGTACCTGCCATTTCTCTCTTTGCTCTCCAACCTCGTTACATCCTCTTCGCACCGTGTCTGCGGAGAATGGGAGGAATCATAGGACAAGTGGGGACCACTAGCCAGTTATTCAGAAAAGCCCCTCCCATTATCCGACCAGTGAGACCCCAGGCTTCGGAACCGCTGAGGAATGCTCCCCACTCGCCCATTGCAGCTGGCAGCTCACCTGCGGCCTCATGGGGAGTCCAGGAGCCCAACACTCACACTGTGTGGGAGACCTGGGGTCCTGAGGATGAAGTCTGGCTGACACCAACCAGACTCTGAGCTCAGCAATCAGCCAGCAGAGGAAGGAAAGGAGCTGACATGTGTTCTCTGGTTTATCCACACGGGCGTACCTGTCTGGGATCTAGCCCACAGGCTTTCTGGTTTGCCACCCCTCCGCTCCTGACTTCTTGTTGCTGGTCAGTCACACTGAACATTTCTCCCCAGGAAAGGCACACTCAGTGGACATTTTCCTGCTGCAGCCGCTTACATCTGCAGATCTCAAAACGACTCTGGGGTGAGAGAAGGCACCTGCAAAAAAGGCACGGGTGAGGAAAGACAGTTTCGCCTGTATTGGCAGTTTGTCTGTCACTTTCTTCTATGTCCTGCAGAATGTCTGGCAGTCTCTTTCATGAAGCAGGAACCCTGAGGAACTGTCTCACCTTCTTTAGGCAAGTTCAGCAATTATTCTTCTGTGGGTCCTGCATGTCCAGTTTATACAGCATACCATCAAGCAATCCAGGCAAGAACAGTTTCTTGCCCAAATAGCTATCCTTGTTACATTGAAGACAAATTCCATGATAAGTTTCTTCAATGTCCATCAACCTCTCTGAAGTAACTGGTGCTGTCAGAAGCAGACATGTCTCACTGTTGAGAAAAGTCTAAGTTCTTAAAACATTTTAAATGACATATTTTGTATGTCTTTGAAAGGGTTGAAGAATCCCCATCCATCTGAAATATATTTCTGTACATCTAAAAAAACCTAACTAACATGACTACAAGTTTGACTATTATAAATGACTATCTATCAATCTGTATTTTAACTATACATTACATTTTTAAATGAGCTTTACAAACACAACACCTTAAATAAGAACAGAAATAATATAGCAAAATTGATCTAAATTTGTATCAATAGACCAAGATCCATATCAATGCAAGGTATTTATCTCTATATCATATCCCCCTTGAAATGAAAACAAATATTTATAAACTATATTTGAGAATTTGAGCACAGTTTTTTTCAAACTTCATTTTATTTTTTTGTTGGGCAAAGTATTTTGGGGGGTTATGGAGACCCTTCTGGGGAGTTGGTCCATCAAACCACATTAGTCTGGAAGGAATCCATAGGTTCTCATCCTTTGTAAAAATAAAAGCAGAACCTCTTTTCCAAAGTAATATATCCTTAGACCTAAATTTTGAAGTCAAGATACCTTTAAAATATTTATGTTGGTTTAGCCTAGCAACTCCCAGAATCAAATATCTCTCTGTAGTAAAAAAAAATTCAAAGAAAGCACAATAATATACATAATCCAGACATTCTATGTATATTTCATCTTTACAAGACTTATTTTTCTTTACTCCTTTAATCTATGACTGTCTCTACTCTTTTATATTACTTTTACTGTCTCTTTAAAGACTTTGTTTTATTTTTTAAAATTATTGTTGTATGTAATCTTGCTATGTTAAAGTTTTAATTAGATAGAAAAGGGGAGGTGATGTGGGATTCCCCTCTCAATGCTGTGAATATGCTTTATTGCATTGGTTATTAAAGAAACTGCTTTCAGCCAATATCTTAACAGAGTAAAGCTGTAGGAAGATAAGACCTAGCAGACCCAAAGGAGCAAACCTGGAGTCTTTCTGGAACTGTCAAAGCCCCTATCTGTATCTAGCCAATAAGGAGCTACCAAGCAGAGTTTCCTGGGTACCTAGCAACAGGCGCTGTCCGAGGTTCTGATCGTGCCTAGCCAATGAGAGATGAGCACGAGATGTCAACTGTTAACTGTCAACTGTCACCCTACCTGGATGCTGAGAGGGTGTATGAGTTTTTCCTTGCTGTTAAATAAATGAGTCTGCTGTAAACCTACTTGACTCTCAGCGTCTGTGTTCATTGATGTCACGCCTTTTCACCCCTTCCCCCAAGAAAGATGTTAGGACTCAGCAATATAAAGCCAGGCAGAAAATCCAAACAGAGACATAAAGAGAGTAGATGGAGTCAGGGAGATGCCATGTAGCTGCAGAAAGAGACAGACACCAAAACCTTATCTGGTAAGCCACAGCCTTGTGGTGATACACAAATTAACCGAAATGGGTTAATTCAAGATGTAACAGTTAGCTAAAAAATATTGGCCAAACAATGTTGTAATTAATATAGTTTGTGTGTTATTATTTGGGTCTGGGTGTCTGGGAAATGAGTGAGTGGGCAGTCTCTGCCTACAAAATATCACCAAGGTGTTCAGAACAACCACAATACCCAGTAATCATTCCATTTACCCAGTAAAATGTACCTAATTGCGGAGTCTTAGTTTAATCTTAGTATCTACTCACAACGCCACAAGATGGAGACACACTCTACAGATAATGGTCATGCCCAGAAGCACACAAAGCATCATGTCATATTGCAACTGCCTCTTGTCAGAGCCTGAGCAACCCCAGGGCAGGGACATTGGACAGGAGATGGGGTAGGGAGTTACTCATTCCTGAGCACAGTTCTGTGGATTTGCTATCACTTAAGGAGTTGAGCTCAGACAGAATGTGAAGTAACATTTGGTTCCTTAGATAGCCAGTATTTTAACATTATTATACTTCTGGTCGAATTGAGGCCAACCTGGACTACCTGAGCTACTGTCTAAAGAATATTATTTAATCACATGACCTCATATCAACTCTTCATAAACTAAAGCTAAACGGGAAATCTATACATTTCAGTAAACACTGGGGTTATGAAACGGCAAGAAGGTAAGCAGTCACAGCAAACCAATGCTTCCTTTGAATATTTTCTTTGTTTGTTTTGCATCTTTGAGACCAAGTTTCATGAAGCTGAGGTTGGTTTCCAATTTACTGAAGTAATTCTGAACTCTGAACCCTCTTGCCTCTCCCTCCTGGGACTAGAGGCATGTCGGGCTATGTCTGGCGCTTCATTTTCATTTTTATCACAATATTGGAAATTGAACTTAGTATCTTCTCATGTTAGGCACTCCTTCTACCATCAAACCATATCCCTGGTCAGTTTGAATAATTTTACATTCCTTTCTTGTCTTCACAAATATTTAAAATTATTATAATAGAGTTTTTAATGTATATTTCTGCCCCCTTAGAAAGAAAAGGGGAAGAGGGGAAAGAGACACCCCCAGTGCTAGGTGAATGTATTAACAACCCACCTCCCAGTACAGGAATTAGATATCATCCCATCCACATGAGCCAGCCCAGGGCCCAGCAACCCTCTTCCTATCTATCCTATAGATAGGTGACCTACGACATTCTACACAGGTGTCCTTCTGAATTCCCTGTTCTTTTCATCCCTCTTCTCACTCATGATATCTCAAGCCCCAAATGCAGAGCCTGACTTGGCTCCATGAGCTAAGAATTTTACAGTCAACACACATCCCTGTCTTAGTTATGGTTTCTGTTGTTGTGCAGAAACACCACGACCACAGCAACTCTTATAAAGAAAACAGTTAATTGAGGGTGGCTCACAGTTTCGGAGGGTTCAGTCCATCATCATCATGGCGAGGATCATGGTTGTGTGCAGGCCGACGTGGTATTGGAGCTGAGAGTGTTACATCTTGTAGGCAACAGGAAGTCAACTGACTGTCACACTGATGAAGCTTGAAAAAAAAAAGACCTCAAAGCCCACCCCTACAGTGACACACTTCCTCTAACAAAGCCATACCTCCTAATAGCGCCAGTTACTTTTGGGGCCATTTTCTTTCAAACCACCACAATTGTCAACCTGCATTTTGGTTTCAGAGACAGGTATTTTGCTATACTGACCAGGCAGGCTTTGAACTCCCAAAACTGAGATCCTCCTGTTCCTGACTCCTGAATAGCTCAGATGACAGGTGTGAGCCACCACTTTCAACTTGGCAATTTTTGAAATGCTTATAAAATTGTAACATGAGCATATAAGTATTTCAGATATGGGTAAAAAAAGGGAGTCGCCTAGTTTGGCTTCCATTACCTTTACTCCAATATTTAACATTACACTCATCCATTCCTTTCTTAAACTTCCAGGGAAAGAAGCAGGTAATGGTCAATTGACCAAAGTAATGTGGCACCATTAATCACTACTATGGAAATGTTATGAGTCCCCAGATATCCTTATGTGACATCCAGCAGTGAGCTTGGTAGCGGAGAACTGGCTATCCACCTATCCAATATAAATCACTGCAGGTGGCTATTCATTAAATTCCAAATTCATGACTCCCTGAGTGAAATTAGATATAAATCAGGCTGTGTTGGGTGGACAACATTCCATGGCTGGGGACTGCGGTAGTATCTCAGCTGTTTGGACTCCATCTGGTGAGACTCACAGGCACCTGCCATGGCTCTCAATCAGGCTGAGCATCTGTTCGCTATCTGCCTATAAAACCCCTCAACACCCAGTGGACTTAAGCCTTTGTCTCTTATCACTCAATTCTCCTAAGCCTGGGAGTGACATGGAGGTGGACCAGTCACCACCGGCACTGCTAATGCTTCTGGGTTTCCCAGGCGCCTCTGTGCTATCAGGGCTAAGCTGGCCATCTCAGTGGGGACATATCTGCTCCTGTGTCTCTCAGCTTTCTCCTGAGACCTGCAGACATGCCTGAGCCTCTTCTATACACAGTGATGTCAGGATACTCAGGTGCCAGCACGCAGCACTTCTCCAACCTCTTGAGCCCTGGCTCGGGACTGTTCTGGCACACCATCCCATTGGACCGCTTCACAGATGGCAGGGGATTCACTCTGGCTGGTGAGGGGAATCACACAATCATGTGGAGAAGAACATGGATACAGGACGAAACCAAACTGGAGCCATTCAGAGGACCTTTCAAGTGTAATGGACGATCAGCGTCACTGGGCCGTGGAATTCAAAGGCATCTCCTGAAATGTGAGTTTTGGGGTATGTATGATGTTGCCTCCTCTAGCGTCTGATTTAGTATCTGAGTGAAGCAGTGCCTCTAGGCCCAGACAGCATCAGTCAACACACCAAGGCCCTGGACAAGCCAAGGCTGGACTCTCACCTGGCCTGCCTACCGTAGCTGGAGCACTGGTCTTCTGACTCTGCCCTGTTGAGTCTAAGGCAATGGTTCTCAACCTGTGGGTTGTGAACACTTTGGGGATCACATATCAGATGTTCTGCACATCAGGTATTTACATTATGGTTCATAACAGTAGCAAAATTAGTTATGAAGTAGCAATGAAATAATGTTATGGTTGGAGGTTACCGCAGTATGAGGAAGTGTACTAAAGGGTCACAGTATTAGGAAGATTGGGAGCCACTTAGAAGCTAAAGCCTTCAGACTCCAGCTGCATCTACTATCCAAACTCTG